ACTTTCCCACTTTGGCTGGGTTGTTTGTTACTACATTGCCTTTAAGCCTCTCAGTCCCAGTTCTCTCTTCAACAAAATCCCTTTAGTTTCAGAGTGTACAAATTTCAACCATCTGAGTTCACTTAAACAAAAAGTAAGTGTGTGTTAGGGGGGAAATGATGTTTCCTTGTGCTACACAGACATACTAAGTAAACCGTAATAAACCAAAAGGCAGGGAAATTGCAGCGTGCCCAAACAATTTAGATACCGGCCCTGACTCAATTCCCTTATTGAATCTCACACACTTTTAAACTTGCTGGGCCTCAGAAACATCCCTGTGCTTTCTTGCTGTAGTTCACTAGCTAACACACACCCTGTGGAGAGTCGTGGCATTTTACTGCTCATTTGGAAGCCTTCTGATAGCCAAAGAAGTGGTTTAGGCTTCCTGGAGGCATTCATAGCATCCACACTTTCTTCAAGCAAGTGGTTAAAACTTAGGAAACAGTATCCACAAACAAGTCCTTTTCTCAGTTTCTCCATCCTTCCTGAAAATACATCTAACAGTTTTAACCTTCCTGGGGAATGCAGCTTTTGGTGTTGTCTTTACTGGCCTTCTGAGGAGGCATCTCTTATCCCAGCTGAGAAGCTGCTTTTAATTGTTAGCATTGCCTTTTCTTGTATTTTCATGAATTTCAGAGGCTGCAGTCTACTCCACTTGGGCTCTGGTTTACTCTAAATTCATTACACTGGCTAAGAGGTATCAAACAGTCTTTGACCCATGGTTTCTGTTGACCCACTAAAGATAGCTGTGGGTAGCTTCCTCAGCAGCCACCATGCAGGGGCAGGCCACCACAGGCAGGGTGGTGGAAGGAGGTGGAGGAACTGCTTGGCCCCTCACCACTCCGCCTATAACCTGGCACACAGCGCATGGCTGTGGTGCACTTGGCAGTGAGGTGGAGCTCAAAGAAGCTGCTCCTCACTGTGGGTGGGTCGGAGCAGGACACAGGGTAGCACATGCAGCTCCTGGCACCTGGCCAGGCAAGAGTCATTTATTTGCCTTAGGGCTGTTTGGGAGTGAACTGAAGGGGAGTGCGCTCCTGTCAGTGGAGAGAGGGCAGGAAAGGTTAGGCCCTGGGCAGGCCACGGGCAGTGGGTGTGAAGGAGTACTTTTATATAGCTGCTGTGTGACAGAGGTTGCCACCAGAGAGATGGTAGATGCCCCATACTTGGAAATATTCAAGGTCAGGCTGATCAAGGGCTCTGAGCAACCTGGACTAGCTGTAGCTGTCCCTGTTCATTGCAGGGAAGTTGGGCTAGGTGACCTCTAAAGGTCCTTTCCAACTCAAATGATTCTATGATTCTGTGACTTAGTTGCTGCTCCTTTGTCAGTCAGGGAGACCCTTTCTGACTGTCCTATTTTATTTAACTTGCAATCTGTGGAGAAAGGTATTCAGGCTGTAAATAATTTATGATTAAAGACAAAAAAAAAAACAAAAAAAAAACACCCACTGAATGTGTTCACATTAATGAAGATCTATCTTTTGAAACCTGTATTAAGGCAAACTGATGCAAGTACTTCACAAAGTGCTACCAAGCTACTAGTGTTAAATGCTTTTTATTTCCTGTTTGCAGTGTATGAAGACACAATACCCATTGTTGAATTGATATATGCCAGCTCATTAAATTATTGCAACTTAGTTATATAGTTTTTTGATTTACAAGTGTAGCTTTTAGTTTGTAACTCGTGGGAGCCAAGCAGAATTTTCAAGAATTTTCAGTTTTCCTATTGAAGCAAACAGATTTAAAGACCTAAGGTACTTTGGTGGTGTGGGGTTTTTGTTGTTGTTGTTTTGGGTTTTTTTGCAAATTTCGTCAGCCTGCTAAATACCTCTGCAAGTCTGAGCAGCTCAGTTGGTTTAGAATATGGGATGAGGCCCTTGATTGCTTGGGACTTTCTTGTAGAGATCTCAAGATGCAAATCTGAGTTATTCTCATTTGAGGAGTATTAATATTCAAGCTTAGACGGATTCCATTTTAAAAATTAAGTGAACAACAATAAACAAATTTGCACTTGAATGCGTCCTCTTCTGAGCGTAGTTACAGCAATATTCTTTTGATTATGAATAACATTGCAAACTGCAAATAATGTGCTAAAAGTAAAGTTTGAGCAAATGATATCTCTGCAGAACTGTAAGTATTATTTATAAGTTAATATAATCAGATGATTTCTGCCACAGGTTGCATGTTCAAGAATGTAAGTCTGACATTCATATGTTTGTGTGAGAGTACCATCCCTCTAGTGGCACCAAGGAAGGTCTCTCCTAGGACTGGCAGTAGTGACACCATCAAATCCAAATGACTGACAGTGGGACACTGACACCACATAGCACTCCCATGCTGGGGCCATGTACCAGTCAAGCACCTCAGCAACCTCCTAGCACAGTCTGAAAGCACAGCTTCAGCCACAGAACTACATATTCTTCCTCTCCCCACAAGTTTTTAATGAATTCATGGTTTGACCAAAAGGTGTCTCTTTTTTTCCCTGACTAATATATAATGTCTAATATCTACTATGTCTAAGTCTACTAGCTAATAAGTCTAATATCTGACTAATGTAAGTGAATGTTTTCCAGTTTGAAGCAGCTCCCAGCTGTAGAGATGAGCTGGAGCAGGACTGAGCACACTACAGGTTTCTAGCTCTGTTTGGACCTTGTAAGCCTTAGCAGAAGCCAGAATTATTTGTATACATTCCTGGTCGACTGACTGAAATAAGCCTTGAAGCATGCCTATGGGGAGGATTTTCATAGCTCCTAGTTCATTGGGGATCCATGTGAGTTCCCTGCTCCACCCTAATTAAGCCCCCCAGAGCTCTAGAAACTGCTCTTGGCCAAAGCACCATTCCTGCTACCATCACATCCAACCCCAGTAACAGTTGTTAGCTACCCAGCTGCAGAGGTGGGTACATCTGTTTGGTGTCCAGTCGGCAGATGAGAAGTAAGTTGTCCATCTGGTAACCTGTTGCCAGCTCATGGCTTGTGTAGCCTTGGTGAGTGATTCATTGCTGGCCTAAAAAGTCGTACAGTGATTTTAGTGAAGTAAAAATTGTAGATTTTTGAATGTAACAGTATTACAGAGCAACTCTGATTGCTTGGCAAAATATATCCTGAGGGGTCAGAGCCAGTAGAATTGAAGAAGGAAAAGAAAAGTGGTGTTTGAAGATTTTTATTTTTCTTACTTAAGATTCCTGATCCTTTTTTTTTTCTTATACAGCCTTTCCGTGAAAGAGTTCAGAAATGAATTGCATGTGTGTCATGAAACTACTTATGTGGGCTCTTCCTACCATATTACCTGAGCACCTCCCACATTATTAAAAGGCTCAAACCACTGCAGCAATATAATCTCCCTTCCCAAATTCCTTGTAAATGAAATCTAGAAAATAAGGTTTTTTTTCAAATGCATGCATGTCTAAGAGATTAAATTTATTTGTGTGAAACTAGTGAAAAGCTGATTGTAATCGCTTGTGCCCAGTGCTGTACAAGCTGTTAGAAGTAGCAGTATTCAACATTATAGCATTTAGTTTTAGCCAACTACCTTCTTTGTATTTGCAGCCTCGGTGTAGGTGCCTGGGCCAAGTATGCAAGCTGGGGCGGGAGGAAAGTTTCTATGTATCCCTGCACAGAGAGAGGGCCAGTCTAGGCTGGTCATCAGGGAATGAGTGGGAGAGAATTATTTCTCAGATCCAGTCCTGGTTCTAGCTAGCAGTACTTCTTTCTGGTTAAAAATTCTGAATGTCTTCTTTCTTTCCTATGCCTTCTTTAGAGACAGTACAGGTTTCAGAAATAACAGTTTGAAAGTGGGAAATGCCATCAATAATGTTAATATCTCTAACCACTTCAGGTACACTCATTGAATGTATTATTCATATGCCTTTTCAAAAAGCATTTTATATTCTCAGACTGAACATATCATCATATCCCCATTGTGAAACATACCAAACCAAGACGGACAGGAATAGGTAGGCTGGCAAGAATCCATGTTAGTACCTGGAATCTAGATGTCTTTGGTTACCAGTCCTCTAATCATTGCAACAAGCCATGTCTATGATATTTTGTCTCGGGTTTTACTTTCAAAGTGAAATACAACTACATCACCAGCTGAGTGATCTGGCCAGTTCATCTATAAAAACCTTGTTGTTTCTGACAGCAGCAGAACCTCTCGCTCAGTGCAATTTGCTTTCCATATTTCATAGTTACTTCTGCACACACACGTTGCAAGCAGGAAGTAGGAGCAGCTCAGCTCTTGTCTGCCCCTGCCTCAAGAGACTGCCATGAAACTGAAAAACACTAAACTATAACCTAAGTATCTGTTAGACCTTTAATTAGCGACCTAAAGAGTGTTTGCCAAGAGGAAATTTGAATTCAGTTTTCCAAATAGAAAGTATTTAACCTCTCGATAGCACTCAAGTAATTATAATGCTTGTGTTGTTTTTTTTCAGGAACTGTAAAAAACAAAAATCAAATTGAAAAATGATAGGAGGCATCATTTTTATGAGACATGGAACAATGAAATTCTCTGTTTGAAAGGAAAGCTGTAGCAATGCCTATGCCTCAGACCCCTGTAGCTGACACAGAAAGGAGCAGCCTCAAGCAGGGAAAGCAGGTTGCAGATTGTTGATTTTCCCACTGAAACAGCCTGAAACAGCATCAGGGCCAACTGTGGTGGTTTTACGTGCGTCACTACAACAGCAAACACCCAGCAAAGATCAGCAGGTCATTTCTCACAGCTTGTAATGTGATAAAGATGCTCAGTCAGTGGCAGGAGGACTAGGATGCATCAGAAGAGGCTATATACTCCAGTACTTTTTGCAGGTATTAGTCAATAACAACTAAGCTATCTGCATTTCAGATTGCAGCAGCTGTTTCAGCCCTAACCCTCGCTGTTCTTTCACTAGATATCCACTCAGAATTTCCCAGAATTAATCCCAAGAAAAAAACAGTATTTTCTTTCTTCTATTTTCACAGACTGCAGGTTGCTTTGGGATTATGTTTATCAGCTGCTTTCTGACAGCCGGTACGAAAATTTCATCCGATGGGAAGATAAGGAATCCAAAATTTTTCGGATAGTTGATCCCAATGGGCTGGCCCGGCTGTGGGGAAACCACAAGGTAAGGGAGCAGTGTATTTTTCCTCCTATGGCACAGAACCTCTTATAACATCACAGGATTTACTTATAAACAAGGGAAAAGGAAGGAAGCATGTGCATATAAACCACTCCTGGAAGGTTATAATCTTTCATTGTACGTACATTACAAGTATAAAGCATCCAGCCTCAAGCACTAAAACTTACCCTTCACATGAAGAACCTGTTGTTTTGGTTCAAAGACATTCAGTTATAAATGTATTTAATTATAAAATTATGACGAATGCAAGAATTAACGGTCCTCTCTCAAAGCGTCTTTTTTCTTCCTGAAACGTGATGCTAAAGATGTTCTGGTTAAGATGTGGTCTGCAAGGAGCTATGTACAACACCTCAGCAGGAGCTTCTTTTCTATGTTCCTTTCTGCTCGTATTTCACAAAAAGAAAGGCTTCTGTCTTGTGATTGACAGCAAATGCTGTAGGATTATGCATTTCTTTGCATGAGGTTGATTCTGCTTTGTTCACTGGAAAAGAGTTACTGATATTTGCAGTTTGGAGCTGAGTAAGTACAGATATATCTGTATGAGTACAGATACACGCTCATATCTTTATGAATGTATGCACACGATTACAGTCATATATGTACAGTCAGCACAGGTTTATAAAAGAGAAACTGCTTGACCAATGTGATCAACTAGGGATTAATGAATTATGATGAAATGACTAGCTCAGTGAAGGCAGGGAGAAAGTAGATATTGGTTATCTTAACTTTAGAAAGGCTTTTGAGACCGTCCATTCTATAATATCCTCAGACAAACAAATGAAGTATAGACTAGAAAAGACAACAGCAAGGTAAATTAAAACTGGCTGAACTGCTGTCTGAAAGGATTGTGATCAACAGCACAAAATCCAGTTATTAGTGGTATTATGCAGAGGATTGATTGTGGAGTCAATACTGTTTAACATGTTCATTGATGACATGGATGATGGGACAGAATGCACCCTCGGCAAGTTTTCAGTTGATACTTCAAAAATACCAGCAGCTGAGAAAAGTGGTTGATACCCCATAGAGTTGTGCTGCTGTGCAAGACAGATCTGCACATAGTGAAAGGTTAATGAGAATCTCATGAAACCTAAAAAGAGGAAATGCAGAGTTTCACACGTGGGGAGGAATGACCCTATGTTTGGAATGTTTTTGCCAGGAAAGTGGTCAGATGCTGGAACAGGTTGCTCAGGGAGACTGGAGTCTGCATTCTTGGAATTTCTTGGACATGTTTAAAGCCAGAACAGACTCAGGTCCAAGGACCAGCTCTAGTTGTCCCCACTTTGAGGGACTGGACTAGATGATCTCCAGAGATGCGTTCCAACATCAACCATTCTGTGATTCTTTATATGAGTGTACATAGCCTAAAATGTTGATAAGGTCAAGATTTTCTCTTGTGACATGATTTACATCTCTCTTAGAGGTTTTAGGCTGTGGTACTGGGAATGAAGTGTTCTACCTCCATGCCAATAATCAAGTCTTGCCATCAGGTCTTGTTTTAAATGTCTAAAATTGAAGCTACTTAAATTAGTAGTCACTTGGGACACAGCTTTTAGTGTACAAGAAATGGGAAAAGCACATACAGTATTTCAGGGGTCTTCCCAATGATCAGAGTCTAGATTCTGCAGAGAAATCATTGACATTCTTCTTGTTTAATTATTACAGGAACTCTTAATAGGGCTTTCCTTAGCAGAGCAGCTGAGGTTAAGGCAGGACTTCAGGGCCATTTTACACAGGCAGTTCATTTAATAAATCTAGCTGAACACCACAGATGATCTTGGACCGACACTGCTGTGCCAAGCCAGACTCTTACCATGAGGGCTCACAGGCTAAAAGCATGCTTCTGCTAGTTTGGCTTGTTTTGCCTACGGCAGGGCAGCTGCTCTATACTCATGCAAACATGGCTTTGACAGTATGGTGCCCTCTCAACTGGGAGTTTCTTCACCAGTGTGGTAACTAGTGCTCTTTGTACCAAAAAAAAATGCTCTTCATGCAGATGTAGCCAGGCAAGTACTATGACAGCTGCCCACGTACAGCTGTGCCTGTGCCTGTCCCTGCTGCCCTGAGCAGGGCTGTACCTCAGTCACCCCGCAGTGCTCTGGCTGTGGGGTTTCCAAAAAGAAGGGGAAGCTCTGCCACAGCGGCAGATGTACAACCTAATGGACTTCTTGATTTACACCCCTGTAAGGAGAGGACAAACAGGCTCTCAATCTCCACAGTACTCTATAAGCATTAACTAGTTAATGGAGGGGAATCCCAGAGGAACAGCGCTCTTAGCAAGGATTGCTGACAAATGCAGTCTATTAGCCACTGTTCTTACATTTTACAAAAGATGGTTTCATTAAGAACAGGCCTGTCACGTATCCGTAGATATGCTCACGTAGAGCGAGCATCTCCACCTAGAGTCTCTTTTTGTGGTTGATGAAACCTTTTGTTCCATGCGATCCAAGAAACTGTAGAAAAACGTCACTTGGAATTTTTGGTAGACTTTCTCACTTAAATTGCCTTATATGAAAAGAGATCTAGAAATTTCTCCTGATGAGGGCTGGAGACGCAGAATGGGCCTGCAAACAGCAGAATAATGAAACGTGATTTCTTGAACTGACCTGGTTATTTTAGCTAGCTTGTGATAGTTCTGCAATTCATTTGGGGGCTTAGGAAGGTTTTAATGAGTCATCTCACCACATTTTCCCCTTTTCTTTTGAAAAATACAGAACAGAACAAATATGACTTATGAGAAAATGTCCAGAGCCCTACGCCATTACTACAAACTAAATATTATCCGGAAGGAGCCAGGACAAAGGCTTTTGTTCAGGTAATCTTTTTTGTTATCTTTGCCGTTCCTTTTGAAAGACAATTAGATTTTGAATGTGGAAAATGGAATTGTGTGTATGATATTTCACTGCCACAGTCAGAACATCATTGACAATGGGCACAGATTTGTAAAAGCTGTTTAGATCAGTGCTTCCCAGCTTTCAAGGCAACTGCACCAATTTAGGAAAATACAGGCATTTTTCAGTTATCAGTGGAATCAATAGAAGTGTCTTTCACTCACTTCAAGCAGGCCCTGCTATTTTTTAAGACTTCAGCTATATGATTTGTGATCTCATCAAAAGCCCTGGAAAGTCCAGTCCACGTTCAACTTCTCAGATACAGCTGCTGTCAAACACTAAGTAGTGATCTGACATTTCCTCGGGAGCATCAACGTTACAGAAGGGACGTGCTGATGAACACATCTTAGTAGAGGTGTCTTTAAGGAAGAGAGGGACCTGCAAGAGCTGTTCATAAAGCCTGACACATCAAATTTGATGATATGACCAAGAATGTAAGGAAGTAGGGTCCTAAACAGCACAAAGCAGGGAGTTGCTATATGAACTTGGGTACAACTGGCAGAACAACTGAGTGTAAGCACTCCATTTCTCTACAGGGAAGACAGTGGAATCTAGTGCGTAATCCTGACCGACAGAACACTGAACTCAGCCCAACGACTGCTTTGGATCCAGTCTGGGTTACTTGTCTGGATCCAGTAATGTTCATGGAGATTATATCAATAAAAAGGCAGTCTTGGAGTTTGTTTTAAGAAAAGAAACTAACAGAATTGCATTGGCTATGTACAGCTGAATAGGTTTCTGTGGAATGTTTTGTTGATATTCATTTTAGAAAGAGAATTAAATAGGAAAAAAAGCAAGTGAAGAGATTGCAGGCAAAATCAACTGTGTTATTTTAATTCTTTTTGGCAAAAAGTTGAAGTTGCTCCCTAAGAAGTGGTACCAAAGGAGCCTGGATTGGTGTGGCCTTGTGTGAAGATTACAATTCCTGGGGGAATTCTGTGATGCTGAATAATGCATGTACTTATCCTGGAAACTTTTCTTTGGTGGGAACACAAATAAAGCAGGAGTCCATCTCTCCTTGACCAGGCTGCCTATTTTCTCTAAACTGTAGAAACTTCATACCTTTGAAGACCTCAGTTCCTCTGTCAGATTTGCCCAAAACTGACCAATGGATTCAAAGGTCATGGAGCAGCATAAAACACGAGCGTATAAACTTCATTTCCTTTGGAAACTGGAGGGGGAAACAAAACAAAGCATTTTTTGCACAATTCCCAATAAAAACTTACTGATGTTGTTTTCTTAGACCAATTTATATCTGTAGAGAAAAAGAAGAACAGCTGCAGAAAATCAAGCCATTAATGTGCCTTTCTTGGCTATTTCTCATAAAAGAAAGAATAGGAAATGTGTCTTTTTAAGAAACATGCAGGCAGTTGCCTTGTGCAGATATCTGTAGAGAGCTTTATGTAAAATGGAGTGAGGGAAAGTTTCCTAGTAGTTTGACTGAATATCTTCTGCAACAGAAAAAGTTATAGATACTATAGGTACTATTTCTTCATTAGCATGAAGTTCTGGGCTGTTTGTTGTTTATTTTTTAATTTATTCAAATGCTGTAATAAACATCCATACTTGGCATTCCTCACTGTGAATTAATACACAGACTAGAAGGAATACCCAGAGTTCTACTGTATAATTCTTATCTGCCCATCTCCCAGAGGATGTAGGAAACAGAACAAGCAGAAGATAGGGAGAGCAATGGGATTGTTCTCTCTTTTGGTTTCACCCTCATGTAAGATAACAGGACAAGCACAGGGTTTAAATCGGAGCACAGTCTGGCCTGTAGGCTTTGATGAGCTTTCACTGGATAGCCAGGGACTGATTCACCACTTCTGTATGCTAGTTTTTCAGTGCCGTAACAACATTTATATCAGCAAAGTCCTTCCAGCATACAAATGGGAGTGACACAGCAGTGAGTCATAGACAGTTTCTTTTTCCTAAATGCATATGTGCATATGATTTCCAAAATTAGAAGAGGTGGCAAGAGGTTAGTTCCAGGCTGTGCTGTGTGTTTGCTGAGAGGCTCTGGATTTTTCAGACTGAAAGCCTGAAGCTTCATAACCTCTAAAGCAGAAGTGGGAGGCAAGTCTTAACCCATGAGCTTCAGAACTGATTGATAGTAACAAGGTTCATATCAGGTTGTTTTGTTTTCACTGGAGCCAGGATATCAAGGGTCTCATCAGCCTGAAATAAAATCAGCTCCTCTGATTAACACATTTTGTACTGCTGAATGTTAGACAGTACCTCGTTAATGAAAAAACACAAGATTTTGTAATACTTCCAGTATAAACATGTCTCATTCTAATTTTTCCAGAAGTACTTACGAGTTAGGAAAGTGATTTGTGTTTAGACTATGATTTTATCCTTCCTGTGCCATTCTCTCTTCCTATGCTGTTAAATCCAGAAAGAAAAAGCAGAGGTCTTCCTTGCTGCCTCTGTGCAGTGGTACACAAAAGCACCCTGGCAAAGATCAAGACTGCAGACTGACCTGCAGGCTGGTGAATATCCTTCCCCATTTCCTATGCTGCCATGCCTCCCTGGAGGCAGTTTCTGTTTCTAGCCCTTTGCAGACTTAACTGCATCAAGGCATCAGTACTGGGAGCTGTGGCATTCATTTACAGAGAACACTGTGATGTTACAATTTCACTTGCCTCCAATCACACAGGAGAAGACTGTCTTTGCGCACAGTTCCCTTTTCTCAGTTAAAACTTAGCCTAAAAGATTTTTTTCTTGGGCCTTTTTCCATTTCCTAGAGCTTGTTCTGACTCAATCCTTGAACCTTTCCAGCCCTGCTTCAGATTTTCATATTCCCCTTCACTCACCTACACAAAAGCCAGCACAAACTAGTAGTCTTTTGCCTCTATGTCTTGCAGGTGCTTTTGCTTTGAAATGTGCTGGCAATAAAGACCATTCACATGTCTTTCACCAGACTGCATAAATAAGTGGACATGTGGCATACCATCATCTTACATGGCAACAGCAAACAGTATGAGGAAGAAGAAGTAAACATCATGCCTTGGAAAAGACTGTGGGATTTGGTTAAAATTTGGACCCTTAAAAAAGGGGAGCAGGAGGAAATGCTTGTGATTTTTTTTTAAATTCTTCTCCATGTATGGAGGAGGAAAGAAGCCAGTGGGCTGTGGAGAAACTGGGAAATAGCAAGTGATATTGGAGGATATAGAAAAGATATTTCTGGGGAGCTGTAGAGCTCAGGGACTTCAGCAACTTTATGAAGAGAAGGGCTGAGAGTACTGGAAAATCACTCTTGTTTCTGTGCTTTTCAGGTTCATGAAAACCCCAGATGAGATTATGAGTGGCCGAACAGACCGCCTTGAGCACCTTGAATCCCAGGCACTGGATGAACAAATATACCAAGAAGATGAGTGCTGAAGGGAACTGGTGCACCACCTATGTGGGTCTATGTGAGAAACATCTGCCCGGATGGCTGGCACGGTTTGGGAGGGGAAGCAACCCTACGGAAGCAGTAGTGGGGGTCTCCGCTTAGCTTGAAGACCATGCAGGACCTGAAGCACCTTAACAAAACAAACTAACAGGCAGAAGTGGTGCTGGCAGGAAAGTAAATGGGAGAAAGCCTGGACTTACGCACTACTTCACTGTTCCTACAAAGTCTCCCTCAAGTTCTTTCTTTCTTTTTGGTTTAAGTTTTTGTTTTTTGTTTCTTTGGGTTTTTGTTGTTGTTGTTGTTGTTTGTTTTTTGTTTTTTTTTTTCCCCCTAATAAACATGTAGTTTGACTTCCCTTTTCTCACATAGGGCAAAACGTGAGATTATGCTTTTTTTCCTTTGGAAGGCTTTCCTTTGGGAACAGAGTGTTCTTACTTCCAAGTCTCATGAGGTAATACCACGTGAAACAACAGTGACACAGAAGGGATTTGCTCAGGGGTTCCAGTTTGCTTGGATCAATTTCTGTGTGCTGTGTTTGGTAAATGTACTGAAACTACCAAAAGAATTTACCACACATATCTGTCAAGTGAAGAGGAGTCACCCTTCATGTGTAGGCTGGGATAGAATCCCAACATAGCTCGTGAATCCTTGAGTGGCTATTAACTTCGGGCATATGGACCAAAACCAATCACCTAAGTGCTCCAGGGAGGAGAGAAATAAATGTGGCAAACCTCTGCAATAGACCGATGTTGACATTTTCTCTCCCTCTAGCAAAGGGGTGATAGAATGGAGTGGGGGGAGAGGGACAGGGGCAAGTATAAATAAATATGTATGTATATATGTAAACCCCACAGCATGTGTACAATGCAGAATTTTAGCTCAAAGGCTTTGATAAAAAAGCAAAGGGTAAAATACCTGAAATCACAGAAGGAAGGTTTTGTTCTTACACGTGCTAGCAGTTTTGGGGTGAAGGGTGAAGGACTTTCTTTTCCATCTTAAGGAGAATGCAGAGGGACCCATCACATGGTTTGTACTGCTCAGAAACCACTCCAGGATCATTTTGTGCTCCTGGAGAGATAGATGATTCACCAATATAAAAACCAATGGTAGAGAACTAGAAACCAAATAGCTATAGTGATGCCTTGGAATTGATTTTGTCTTTGTTTTGGAGTTTGATTTTCTCCCTGCCTCCCAACCCTTCCCCACCCCATGGCTTTCCCATCTAGGAATCTTGTCTCAGCTTGCCTGTTCTTAATGTGATTTAAAAGATCAGAAAAAAAGAAATCCCAGATCTGTGTTGCTTTCTTGGTTTTGTTTTTGTTCTTTGCAAGGTGCCCTATTTTTTACACCTTCTATTTGGTTTGCAGCATGAGAGTGCTTTGCAGGAGGCAAGAGCCATGCCTATTTTGGTTACTCAGGCTGGGAAGCTCAGTAGTCCTTAATGCTCAGTACTAGAGGAACTACTGACCCTTTGCATTTCACACTGCTTGGGCTGCCATGACAGGAAAGTGGTGTCCAGTTATCCAGTGATCCATCAGCAGTGGTCCACGTAGTGGAAAAAAAATGCAGCAGCAGAAATGATACTTGCAAAGAGTGAAGATATACAGAGAACCTGTGCAGGAATCATATGATTACTGGAGGAAAACAAGTCCACACTAGTTCATTAAAAACAGAAATCCTCTTTTATGGGAAAATGCATACTAGAAATAGGAAAAAAAAAAAAAAAAAAAAAAAAAAAAAAAAGGATTAATCTAATCAACTTCAACCAAAAAAATAAGGTACATTCACCTGATAGCGCTTCTATTAGCTATAAACCAGCACTGCATTTGATCTTAGCACATATTTAACAAGAGGGTTAATCTACGCAGAAAAAAAAAGCACTTGGCAATGAACAGTGGCCTGTATATTTAAACAAAGATAGTCCAGTTTCACAAAAGATGTTATTGAGTCACAACTGCAGGAGGAAAGGCTTTGTTAAGGGTAAAGATAGGCATCATACAACAAGGAGAAGTTTTGCAGAGCCAGTGTCTGATGAGGAGCAACGGGTGTATATCTCTCCCTGAGCTCTTCCCAGGCACGTATTTTTATTATAGAATGTTAGAGGTCTGAGCACACAAAGTGCTTGACTTCTTCTGTCTCAGAAGAAAGGGCACATGAACGTGCATCAGAAAGGTGAGCAGATGACCCATCACTGCCACAGCTCTGAAATATTTAGAGCTCATGAGATGGAGGCACAGGGAGAGATCCCCTGCTCACAGGCCTGAAACCAAAGGGGCCACGATGATTCCAACCCAAAACCTGGGGGCCACAATGATACTGACCCAAGGGCACTTGCTTGCAGCCATGCCTTAGGAGCTGGATTTATGTCCTCCAACTGAACGTGGAGCACAGAGAGCATCGGAATACGTCTTCCTGGGGAGGTCAAAGGAATAACTCAGAGAAGATGGTGAGTGACAGATGAAGTGAGTGTCAGTGTAAAGGAAGTCTCTCGATGGTTTCTTCTGTTTCTTAGGATGTACAGCAGTAGAAAAAAAAAAAAAAAAAAAAAAAAAAAAAAAAAAAAAAGCACAGTTGATATCCTTTACTTTTCTGGCTTCTGATGACTGCACGCACTGCATCATTTCCCTGCTCCAACTGCTCTTATGAGATGATGGGGAAGAAAGACAATAGATACCTTCTATTCGAAGCATTTTGCTTTGCTAAGCCACAAGATTTTGTTATGCTCAAGGTGCACACTGGGGAAGTAGAGACAGTCCACCAGCATAAGCCCATGCGCTCACCAGGTAAGCTAGCAAGCAGTTTGTCTTCAGCACTGGCAAGGCAGGAAAAAGCAAGGAATCCTAAAGTCCCATGTGTTGTCCCAGTGGGAAAATCTGTAGAGGGAATTTAATACAGAAAATGTTCACCTTTACCAAAAATACAATCATTTTCACTTGCAGAATCAAGTCAAAGGGAAAAAAAAGGTTGGAACTATCTTCCTGTTCATGTATAAAGACATCTCAGGACAACTATTTCTCCCTCCCAGTCATAAAATTTTCCCAAGTCTCAGGCCAACCAGAATGAAAATAGCCTTCAAACATGGAGCAGGCTGTTCCCATGGACCCTGCCTAGCTTCCAGCCACTCTGCGTGCTGTAACATGGATGACATACAGCCAGGGCTTGGGACATTGTGTGGAGACCTGCGAGACATGAACTGTTCCTAGGGTCTTGTAAGCAAGGTTATCAGCAGTGGCTAAAAAATATAGAAACAGGCTATAACAGCTGCAGTAAGCAGATTCTCCTCTACCTCACCTCCAAATGGCAGATCCGAGGAGTGCAAACTGCATTCATGTTCAGAGCTACAGAAACACTTGTTGAATGTGCAGGCTGGCACTGGCAACACTGTCTTTCCACCAGCCCTGAAACCCACCTCCCCTCCCCACTTTCTGATTTCCTAGCACAGAAATTGCTGGCAGCATTGCAATCAAGCTTTCTATCTTTTCCTCCAGCAAGTGGGAGAAGAAATAGTCAGCAAAGCTCAAGAAATACTCAGCAAAGGATCTCTACGCTGCAATTAAGTCGGACCATCATTGCCTTCAGTGCGCTGCAGGGCTGCGCAACCTTCAAGCAGCCAAGTAGGATGTGCTGCAGCTCCATGACTAAATATTTTCTTGAGTTTCATGATTGATATTGGACATTTTTTGATGGCCTCCCCATCCAAAGAACACTACCCTTCTTGCCCAGACTGCAAATCCACAAATCCATGCGCGCATTCTCCAGATCTCTTTGTCAAACTGCAACCCTGTGCAAATCCAGAATGCATCAGTTTGTGGTTTTTTTAGATTCTTTTTTGTTTGTTTGTTTTTGTTGTGGTTTTTTTTTTTTTCCAATAAAATTCTAGTCTTTTCATCAATGGTGATTTTTTTTTGTTTGTTTGTTTTAAGGTGTGGGTTTAAGGGACTGAATCGAATGTAACAAAACAAAAACAAAAACAAAAAGCCTAATCTCAGGGCCAGTGAGTTGCAAATAATTTTTAAAATGCCTGTAATTACATCATCTCAATAAAAAAATTTAATATAAAAATGGGAATACCAAATTTTGTTGGTGCAATCATTGCTAAAAAATGGTCCTTTCTTTTTAAGAACTCTGGTAGCTGAATAGATACAGTACACAGCAGCTGGTTTCAGTCAGGAAAAGTAACCTGCCAGCTTTCCATGCCCAAATGTGTATGAGTGAGGCCTGCATCTTCCCTGGGAAGCTTTGTTTGGAAGAGTTAATGCTGTCCCTTGAAGTATTTACTTTGCCTTCATCCTTAGGAATCAGCAGAGTACTGCACGAGTGCCAAGATGGAAGCATCTGCTTCTCCCCCCTTGTCCTGCAGGCTGTACAGAGGGAAAGCACAGAAGTGAGGAGGTGTGGTAACTGTTGCAGCTCTTGTGTCCTCCTAAACAGACCGGCTCAATTTTGAGAACAGTAACAATTTCCATAGCTTTCATCTTAGCAAAGCAGTCTAGAAACAAAGCCCCTAAATGCTGCTGTTCTAACACAGGGAGTCCTCATCTCCCTGTTTCACTTTGAAGCAGGTAAGATGCAGGGACCCCAAAGACACCATGTTCTCAGTGGCAAGGGGACAGCATGGCAAGGCATCAGGCACTTGCTGCTGTCCATTATTCCCTGGATAGCCCTTTCCCATGCTGAGCAGGTTATCAGCATGTATAGCAGCAGAGTAGTCGCTGCCTTGTGACAACAAGCACTTCTGGGCAGTGAGACCACATCTGGCACTCTCTGTGCTGGGTGAAGTCATGCAGATCCCAACCATGGCTTGGGATGGACCCATGATAACCTGGCTGATCTGTGGAGTTATCTGTCCGGCTGCTTCTCACTTGGTATTTTTTCTTGCTTTTCTTTCACTGTTGTTTTTAAACCACAAGGTAAAGAATAAGCACTGAACAAACCCCTTTTCAAGCCAAGACATCACATGAGAAGGAAACAATGTGTTTTGCTCCACAACTCTGCCCCTCCAGGCTATTTCCCTTCATTTGAGAAGAGGAAATAAATGTATCCTACATACTATTGCAGCTTTCTGTGCACTCTAAACAACAGTTAACATTGCAGGGTGAAAGTGAATGGAGGAAGTTTTTGGTGTTTTTGGCTGTCACTGCCTTGAGCAACAGTTTCAGGGCTGCCTCTTGAACTCAGAGGCCTTAGAGAATATGGTTTCTGGGCTGCAACAAGGGAACACTCTAAAAGCAGGTGCTCAGTACAACTTCACCTCTGTTTGCTAGCATTAATTCAGCTCTAGAGCTCCTATGCCAGTACCACCAGGATGATGGCTGGTACGTGTGTTTGCAGACCATGGCTGCAACAGACTCCACAGTGATGATCAGAAGAGAAATGGCAAGGGTGGCAAAGTAGGTAGGCCTTTGGCTACAGTCCATGCACCCCAGGACTTAGCGAGGCTGCCAGTGGAGTACTGCAGTACTAGCAGCACTTAATTATGTAGAAATCCATTTTGAAATAATACTTTGCAGAAGCTTTTTTACTTCTCCCATATGAGGCTCCACCTGTGAGGCCCATGCAAGCAAGGACATTCTTCTTTCCCCAGAAAGATCCTGAAGTGTCAGTGGTAGTGTGCACATGTGTTATGCTTGCTTGCTGCAGCTCAGAGAGGTGTGTCTGGTTGAGCATCTCTTCAGATGGATTGGAGAAATATCACCTTCACCAATACTTGTAATCACAGAATGTCACTGAATGGAAAGGACCTCAAAAGGTCACCCAGTTCAATCCCCCTGCAGGAACACCTATATTAGGTCACACAGGAATGTGTCCAGGTGGGTTTTGAATGTCTCCAAAGAAGACCCCACAACTTTTCTGGGCAGCCCGTTGCAATATCCTGTCACCCTCACTATGAAGAAGTTTTTTTCTCATATTATGTGTGCCAGCTTGCTACCCATTGTCCCTTGTCCTATCATTGGATGTCACTGAGAAGAGCCTGGCTCCATCCTCATGACACTCACCCTTTGCATATTTACAAACATTAATGAGGTCACCCCTCATCCTCCTCTTCTCCAAGCTAAAGAGACCCAGCTCTCTCAGCCTCTCCTTGTAAGGAAGATGCTCCACTCCCTTAATCATCTTTGTGGCTCTGTGCTGGAGTCTCTCAAGCAGATCCCTGTCCTTCTTGAACTAAGGGGCCCAGAACTGGACATGATATTCCAGATGTGGTCTCACCAGGGCAGAGTAGAGGGGGAGGAGAACCTCTCTTGACCTAAAAAATGGAGAGGAAAATTTTGGAGAGCATGGGGAAAAAGTATTTGCTATGTTGCAGGAGAATGGGTGGCTCTGAAAGCCATCTTCCTTCATGAAGTACTTTAGAAGAAACTGCTGCAGACATGTCCTGCCAGATACGGCAAGGAGGAAGAAGTTGGGAAGGGAGTAAGGAAAGTGATGAAGACCAGTTGAAGCTTTCCTGTCACCAAGAGGCCTCTGAGGGGCCCAAAAGAGAGCACGGTGGTGCTGGAGGCTGAGCTTCCCAGCACCTACCTTCGAAAGAAGCAAGAGCATGAGGTGCCCAAAAAAATCACTGCCAACCCCAGCAGTGGAGTGGTTCGATCAACAAAATTGCATCAGACTTCCTTCATTCATGATGTTCCTCCTAACTGTTTTTCCAAAATTACTCAAAAATTACACTGTTTTGCAGGCAAAGTGGAAGAAAAAGGAGAAAGAGTCGGTCTTCCCACTTTCTTCCCTCCAGTCCTCACCTCTCTGCCTTAATGAAATTAGAGGGGGGGGTGATGAATAGTCATCTGCTTGTTCTGCTGGAGCTGGATCTGTCAATGAAATCACTTTGTTCTTCTTCCCTTGCGACAATAATCTTCTATCTTTGCTGTAACTGCCCTCATTAGCCCAAAAGTACAACACAGATGCTACTTAATGACTTTTTTTCCGCTGCTGATCACCATAAGCTGGGCAGCTGCTACAGAGACTTAGGGCAGTGCATGTTTGCTTCAATGTTGTCCCTTTGCCAGTGAAAGAGACTGTGTGTAGCTCTGCCAGCCTCTGCAGAGCACAGAAACCAGACAGGGACACCAATGTACAATCAGGCAGACCCCATGTCTGTGACGCATTCAGCACCTGAAGACTACAGCCAACATTTAGGTTAAAACGAACACATAGAGACCTCATGTAGGACAATAGGGGTCATTATGACCGATACGATCAGTTGTAAAACCTGCAGGGACACATCAATCTTTCCGCCTCCTGCAAACACCTGTGCAAAAAGTTTCCCAGCAACTCAAAGTGTTGGAGAACAGCCGCAACAGGAAGAGCGATAACAGTTCAGGAATTAGAATTGATCTTGTGCCGCCTGATAAACACTACTAGCCTGGGGTTGTTGGTGTGAAGCCAAGCTCTGCTAAATGGACGAAGTTTTCAAGTGAACCCTTCCCAGTGTTTGACAAGGTAAAAGGAAGGAACCAGAGCAAAGACAGCTTGAACAAAGCAGGTATTGTTTCCCTGGGCTCCATAAGGACGTGAATGCATAACCCCTCAGAGGAAGGTGAGGAAAAGAAGCAGATAGGTAGATGAAAGCTGAGACAAGGAGGGGGGAAGTTTGGACCAGCACAAAGCTGAAACCTGAGAGTAGTCACCATATGCCCTGTGCACCAGAAACCAGTATGTTCAGT